TTGATAGGTTTAAGGACTAATTGGTTCCAGATTCCAAGTTTTTCTATTAAGGATCTTGAGAACCTTACAAATATTTTGATTGATTTGTAAATATTTTATATACGGACAGATTGCAAATCAAGCATTGTAAACTTTAGTTAGTTTGATGATCTACACAAAGCACAATCTGATTACTATCTCTAATCAAATCATGTCTATCAAAATCACAAGTAGCACTCCAAAGTGTCTTTCTTCGACATATAGATGGCATCCCTTAGTCATTTTCATATTATAAATAGTGCTTCTAATTTTGTGAAATAAAGACCTTTAAACATGGGCCCAGAAACTGAAACATTCTTTTGGAAGAAATTTCAATCTATGGAGCACTTAAAGACTTCAATAAGGTTTACATACGACAAGTTGGTAGAGTTTGAAATCAAGTTGCCCGCGGATAGTTTAGAAATTAGAGGAAAAACAGGTGAGAAGACAGAAAAAGAGACGCACAGGAGAAAGTTTAGGGATTGACATGAAGAAATACAAGCTAGACAGGATATTAACTTGACAAAAGAACAGAGGGATAGATAACAGGGAATAGAACTCCAGCAATTCCTAATTGCTTGTCATTGTTTATCATCTAATCATTGTAATAATTAATAGGCTTGATATATGCATACTTATAACTAGTAAGGAAGATAATTAAAGAGGAAACTAAAGATTCTTGTTCCTAATTTAAATAGCCCAAATAAATAAAGACATTGAATAACAATATATAAAAACTTCTTAGATCCTTCCAATTGAAATTCCACGCGAAGAGCCCATGAAACTTTTCCAGATATCTCCATTTCTGTACTTCATTGGAAATGGGTGACAACAATCTTTTGATCTTTGGGGTTCAGGCAGTTCTTTTACTTTGTAATTAGATTTTGTTTCAGTGTCCATTTTGTGAAGAATTCAGGAGGATATGTTATCCTCTACTATTGTAATTCATCTTTCTTAATCTTAATAATACTCCCTTTTCTATCAAAAAATCATAAGAACTTCTTTAACATTAAATTTATTCCTAATTAAAATCTTCTTATTCTACACAAGTTTCTTCAAAACAAAAGACTCTAATGTGAAAAATTGTGATTATTAATGCATCTTATCTCTACCTTCCATTCTGATCAGCATATGAACAGTATAAGATCAGGTCAGAAGAATATTAAGTTATAACAGTTATTTCTAGTCAATTTAATACCACTCTTTCAAAGTCGTTAAGTACTTGCAATGCTTTTCTAGACATATCTACGTATCAAATAGAAAAGCTTTTTTTTCAGCAAATAGTAAAGGAATTAAAAAAAACCAAAGATATTAAGGTATGGAAAACAATAACTGTGAGGTCAATGTCTGTGATATCATGTTACCTTGTTTAATGGCATCTAGTCCAACCTTTAGACCACCAACAGCTGACATCACTGTATTAAGAGAGACAAATGAGTATGGAACCATATGAAAGGGCAGACTTAAAAAGATCCTGTTCAACTTGTAAAGATTAGATCAACAGATGACAATAAAAAGCATGAAAAACATCTGCGATCGAAACCTGACATTGCCGGTGTAATAGCCCCATCAGCAATCACCATGGCAGTGCCAGCAAGCACTAACATCAGAAGAATCTTTTTCAAGGTCAATGAATTCTCAAGTCTTTCTTTTATTTTTAGAGATCTCTCCAGTTCAGCAGATGGCACCTTTAACCTGAAGCTTGATATGCGGGCATCTGATGGAAGCTGATTTGGGAGAAGACTTACCTTTGCATGCCGACAAATCAACGAGTACAATGCAAAAGTCCCACCTGCAGCATTAAAACAAACCAAATAGTTACGCCGCGTGCAAAATGCACACATAGAAACATTTATTGATGCATCAGACACAGAGGAAAGAGCATGAGCCTTATTTACAACAGATAGCATACCTTCACCATCATCATTGGCCAAAAGGACAACAAGTACATATTTGACAAGAGGGACTAAGATTATAGTATACAGGACTAAGGATAATGCTCCAATAACATCGTCTCTTTCATTAATAGGTGCTTTGCTAAACATCACATTGAAGGTATATAACGGACTTGTCCCAACATCACCAAAGACAACCCCAAGAGTCTGAAATGCAAGTATAATTCTCCTTCCTATGCTGAAGTCCTGAAATTGATTTCAAACAAATAAAAAAGAATATCCTATCAGTAGTTGACCATGCATAAGAATTAACCACAACAAAAAGTAACTTTCTGGCATAAATTACCTTGTCTAGAGCATTTATGAGGCAAAACAAATGCTCTTCAATTATTTTTTTTTTTTGGTTAAAAGAAGAAAAATCATTAAAACAGAGGAAAACATATACAAACTAAATGACAGGAAGCTATACTAGAAAAAAAAAAAAGAAAAACAATAACAAAATAAACAAAGTATACACACTATTGGTATCAACCCAGTCCCTTTATAAAGTGGATAAAGGAACTCGCTAGTTTGATACAAATTTCAAAAGGTCATTAACTGAGACGTTTAAAAATTCTCGCTTTTCTCTCCAACCAAAGGACAGATATTGCAAGAAAAAAATAGCCCCTTCCCAAAGCAGATTCTGATCCTTACTCCATCAAAAACCATATAAAGAGGAGATGAAGATGCTCAAAGAAACATCTAGTTCCTCCAGGTGATTTAGAGAAATAAGCAGAAAGCTAACAAGATATAAACTATCTAAATCTACATCAAAGTTCTGATGTCACCAATATTCCCAAGATGCTACTAAATAATTCTTGACCTATCACCCCATTTTCTTCTTGAAATAAAAAGTGTAACGTATGTATTACCTACAAGCACCAAGAGGGTGCAAATCCCATTTACAAAAGAATTTACAATTCAGTTAGCATATCAATTAGGTCACTGAAATTCTCAATAGAAACCTATCACCCCATTTAAGAACAAATAAATCTCAATCCATGTAGAACAGCCAAGCCTTAAACTAGTTTAATTTTTAACTAAAAAATTTACCATCAAGAGGTTTATTTTTTCTAGAAAGAAACAATCCCAGATTTATTTCTCCCAGAAAAAAAACACAAACCAGATTTATATTTAGAACATACTTAGATATCACCAATATAAAGATAACAAATGAAATTCCAGGATGAGCATAACCAAACAAAAAAATATAAATATGGAGAAATCTGACACCTGCAACTGAATCAATGTTGCGAATTCGCTTCAAGCAAGATCAAGTACCAACCTCTTTTCTTAATTAATCTTTTAATAAGTACAGATAATGGAAAACCTGAATGATCGCTGAAAGAAACAGACTGCTGTCCCACTTCTAATACTGACATCCTTCTGATGTTCTTTTGACTAAGACCCCATTAAATATATGAGCGCTCAGATCATCTTATTAGCTTTTTCTCATAATTTTATCCAAAGCTAAAACATTTTCAGAACAAACAGAAGAACAGGATAAATGATTGAAACACGATCGTAGCCACTATATGAATTGTTTATATGATATTTCACAATAAAATGAGCACATCTAAAGAGATAAGCATGTTTTACATCATACCAATGATATGTTAAAAATCTATTTCAAAATTTTGTGATAAAATCTTGTTTAGTTAAAAAAAAAACAATTTTCCTTATTTTTATCCTTTGGTGAAAGATAAGATCATTGGACTTGTAATTCTAGTATCTTCCAATAAAGTACAAAAACCTATCATTTGATCTACATTTAAACGTAGGTTTGCCCCTCCACAAAAAGGCTGTTTGCAACCAAGTTAATCACAGCTTTAAATTTTGCTAGTACAAATTGCAAACCAAGTAATACATTCATACTCACAAATAGATGACTTTTGTTTATGTGGAAGAACAATTAAATTCCCAAGTACTTTTCTTCTTCATTTTGATAGGAGGTTTGGGAGAGGCACAAGTACTCAAAAAGTGAGAAAAGAGGTTAGTAATCATTACAAACCTAGACACACTCCAATCCACGTTCCCAACATCTATTATTTGCACCTAAGTTTATGATGTGATGAGATCAAATTTAGGTTGTCCATGAACCTTGAAAAGTTCCTCAATATTTTTTATAAAGACATTCTAACCAGAATTTCATTGTCAAAAGCCAATCAGTGAGCTCTACACTCAGTAGCACCATTATCAAACCTAAATTTATTTCCAGCCAAATCCCAGAATCAATGCACACAACCATTTTTTACCTCATTGGAACTTCAACTTCACCTTCAAACAAGACAGCAATATAGACAAACACATACTAAAATGCTAGCAACCAGAATAATGATTTCTCCTTTTTCCTTATGCCCCAATCATCAAAGTACAGATAAATCTTGAAATAGAATGAAATTTCTTCAACAGAAGAGGGTTTCGGATTTCCATTACCTTTTAGGAGGACGAAGTGGAGTGGCTGGGGGCGTTCAAGGAATTTTTCCGATCCAGAGGAGGCATGACACGGGGCGAGAGCATGAGAGGAAGGAGGCATAATCTATGGTGGCTCTAGGTCGTAACTGGAGAGGGTGATATCTGATGTTGTCAAAGGAGAACCAGGACACAGTGAAAAGAATATGTGTGCCATAAGGTGAGCAGGCGGTCAGGTAGTGGTGGCTAATGTTTACCCTACATGATTATTTCAAAATAAAAATGTTTACCCTATATGAGGTGGCTGGAAAATCACGCAAGACAATGAGGGAGAATAGGAAACTATTGATCATGGCATCGAAACAAGTCAGTAAGGTATGGAGGGGATTGAGATGTAGCTGACGCCGTTCTATTATCCGATCTGCTGATCGGAACTGAGGGTGACATTGGAGCCGAACCAGAAATGGAGTTTTGCATAAGTGATCCATGGCAGAGCGAGGTTAGAGAACGAGTTGAGAAAGAGAGATCCAAACTTGCTGCTGACTCGACACTTTTCAAAATTCAAAATACAATAGATCAAAATGCACAGAGGGTCTGTCGTTCGGAAGGGACACAAAACGCAAAGACAATGGACCATTTTGGGAATAAAAGGGCATGGAAGATGTTTACAAGAGACAGGCACCTGAGTAAAACCGCGCACAGACCCATATAGAGGGCCATGGGTTGAAAAAATGGGTCAGGAGGCCGAGTCTAAGACTCGTATTGAGACCCGTGCCCAGACCCGTGAACAAAAGAAAAACTCTAACATTTACGATCACCAATAGCAGTGGAAGAAGGATGGTACGGTCAACAATGCAAAAGATAGGTAAGTTAGCCATTAACACCAATGTTGGAGGTGGAGGTATGGGTGAGACAGATCAAAGCCGAAAAGTGGATGACTCGGGAGATGGTCACATCTTGGGAATGTGGTTTGAGGATGGCCAAACTAAGGACAATGTAACCAGGACGGGGATGAATTATGTTATGGCAATTATCCTAGTGAAGGAGGAAACGGTGGTGGATGATCCTGATGAGGAGGAAACGTCAACTGTAGTGCACAGAGAGGGAGCAAAAGAAGAAAATAAGGGGGAGAGGATAAGTGCTCTCATTAAAGAAAAAAGCTCCAGATGGGTCCTTGAAAATCGTCAGAAAATTAGCACAATGATAGAGGTTACTTCTAATGATTTAGATGAGCAAGTCATGGCTCTATTCAGAAAAACTGAGAGAAAAAGGAAAGGAGAATAAGAAGGAAGAGAGGACTTAGGTTAAGATCAAGGGTAAAGAGACTGCAGTAAACAATTAATTACGACATCCCAAGGAAAGGGGATAAGACGGGCAAAGGAGGATCCAGTATGATTTAATGATGTTTGGACGATCATAGCATGGGCATAAACAATGACAAGAAGAGACAAATAATCAGGGATTGTATGAACATATGGAACCTGGACGTGATATGCCTGCAAGAAACAAAAAATGGAGATCATTTCAGTTAGGATTATTCAAAGTTTATGGACGGTTAAGGAGATTGGGTAGAAATAATTACCAGCAAGAGAAGAAGCTCAAGGTATCCTTCTGTTATGGAAGAAGGGATTTACAAAATGCGTAGACGTTGGGGGTGAGTGTTCCATTTCCTACCTGTTTAAAGATCTTAGGAATGAACAAAAATGGGTATCTATTGGGGTGTACAATAGGAGTGAAGGTAAAGAGAGAAGAACGCTATGGAATGATTTGAAGAACTAAAAAAGAAGGTGAGATTGGTTGTGGGTGGTTGAGGGAGACTTCCCTGTGGTGTTACTTAGAAATGCGACAACTGGTGAACATTTCTCGCATATATGCACCAAAGAATTCAAGGATACACCAAATAGATTAGATTTAGTGGATTTACCGCTTCTTGATGGTAAATGGGGGGGGATCGGGTCAAAAAATTAATCTAGTGTGTTCTTAAATTGATACTTTTTTGGGTTTTCTTGTCAACTACTAGCTTCGAACCTATGCCAAAAACTTTTGCAAGGGACTATTTCTGACCATTATCCTAGATGTTTAGTCTCTGGTCGGATTAAGTAGGGACCTTGTCCTTTCAAATTTGAAGACAAATTAAAATTCGTATCAAAATCCAGGAGTGGTGGAATGGTACAAGGATAGATGGTAAGACCAGCTTCAGAATAATACAGAAATTGAAGCAACTAAAAAATGAAATCAAGAAATGGTTTAGGGAGGCAAGGAAGAGGTATGATTTGTACATAATGATGTTACTTCATGAAATCGAGTCTATTGATAAGAGAGAGGGCAAGGAGGTTTTGACTTCTGATGACTTTGAGTGGAGAGAGTAATTAAAATTTGATCTAGCTACTAGATTAAAAATGGAGACTTTATGGAGGCAGAAATCAAGAGCTCAATGGATCAAGGAGAGCGATAGAAATACAAATACTTTCATTACCTGGCAAATCGACACAAAATGAACAACCATGTAGAATTGTCTAAGATCAATTATAAGAGTGTGGAAGGAAATGATCTGTTGAGAGAGAAGGTCAGAGACTATTTTGACATATTATATCATGAAGACTTTTCTTGGAGGCCTAAACAGGAAGGTGTCAATTTTAGAATTTTAGATGAGACTAGCAGGTTGGCCTTGGAAAGAGAGTTTTCATAAAAGAATCTCGAAGGTTTAAAGCAGTGCAAAAAGGACAAAACACTTGGTCCAGATGGTTTTAACATGGGATTTATTCATGAATTTTGGCAATTTATGGGGAAAAACATTATGGAACTCTTAAAGGAATTGCATGAATCCGAATCTTTTGTAAGATCTCTAAACTCCTCATTTCTGGTGCTCATTGCTAAGGTGGGAAGAGGTATAGATCATCAATGATTTTAGGATCATAAGCTTGATTGTAAGCATTTAAAAACTTTATTGCAAAGATACTTTCTAGAAGAACATCAAGAGTTATGGTTTAAGGTGGTAGGTGAGTGCCAACATACTCCATAGGGGGTAGGCAAATCCTCAATGCCGCACTTATTGACAACAGGTGTACAAGAAAATAAAGGGAGTCTATGTAAGCCCGACACAGAAAAAGCGTACAATCATGTTAATTGGAGCTTTTTGCATTACATGCTTATGAGAATGGGTTTTTGTGTAAAATGGAATAGATGGATAAAATCTTGCATAACTTCCATATCCTTCACGATTATGGTCAACAGAAGGCCATCTTTTTTTTTTTTCAAGACTTTTAGAAGTCTAAGACAGGGAGATCAACTATCCCTTTTGTTATTATTGCAATTATGAAAGCTTTAAATAAGATGTTGCTAGGAGCAAGGGAGTTAGACTTGTTCAAATGCCTTAAAGTGGGAGTAGGGGAGCACACTGAGGAGAAAATTCACATATTTTTCGCAAACGATACCATGCTGTTCTAATAGTCGAACGAGCGTGCAATAATCAACCTATTGATGGATTTTCAAACAGCTTCGAGAATCGATATCAATCTTACCAAGTTTGAGATGGTTACATTGGGGGATGATAGAGACGCCGATAGATTGCAGAGTGTCTTGGGATGTAGAGTTGTTAAGTTGTTGATTAAATATTTGGAGTTACCATTGAAAGCTAATTACAAAGAGGTAAGGGCATATGATATGGCAGTGACTTAAGAAACAGGTTAGTAGGTTGAAAGAGAGCTCTTCTTTCTAAAGAAGGGAGGTTAACACCCATCAAAAGCATATTGGGTAACTTGCCCATTTACTACATGCCCTTGTTGACTATTCCGACGAGCGTTGCAATAAATTGAAAATTAGCCAATGCAGATTCTTATGGGGCAATTTGGAGAAAAAAAAAGATATCATTTGATAGATTGAGAGGAGATCAATAAGCCAATTTCCCAGGGAGGATTAGGGTTAAGATCTCTTGTGGATATGAACATGGCTTTACAAAGTAAATGGTTGTGGAGGTTTATGAATAAAAAGGGAATGTTGTAGAGAAGGGTGATAGAAGTAAAGTATGGAGCATATGAAAAAGGATGGTACACCAGAACATTTACAAGCTCGCACGAGAAAGGTTTATAGAAAAAGATTTGCATGGACAGGGACAAATTCCAGACATGTATCAAATGGAAAGCTGGCAAGAGCGATGGAATCTATTTTTGGTTAGACCCATGGCTAGATGGTGGAGCCCTTAGAGATTAGTACCCTCAGATCTTTGCCCTAACACAAACAAAAGACATATTAGTTAGTGACTCTCTCAAAGATTTAGGGGTAAGGGAGGGCAAAGAAATGGCAGGTAAACGTACTAAAAAACCTCAATAATTGGAAAATCAATCAATATGAGAATCTCCTAAGTACCATGTCTCTCATTACTTCAGATGGCAATAATGATCAATCTCTGTGTGAGTTTCACTAATACAGGGTTATTTTTGGTTAGATCCTTTTATAAGCATTTGATTTAAGCAGGAAAACAATGGAACCAAGTTCCCTTTTAGATAGATATGGAAGGTTAAAGTTCCTTCCAAAATTGTTGTCTTTGCACGGAAGGCCGGAAGGGGTTGCATTCTGACCATTTACAAATTGATGAGGAGGGGAATGACTATGGTGAATGGGTGGGCGTTATTTGTGTGAAGGTGCTGGGAAACATGTAGTCATGTTCTTTTATGGTGTCCAATAGTGTACAAGCTATGGTCGATGGTTTACAATTTATTGGGTATCAGCTGAGCAAATGGCATGTTCGATCAGAGATGAAATTTGGGCATCAAAAAAATAAGCTGGCGGAGGAAATTTGTGGACATAACCACCCACCATTTTCTGGGTGAACGGAATAGAAGAGTTTTTTAAGGGGTAGATGATATGATGGATTTTTATATGAGTAGGAACCAATGGTTTCAGACCCTTGACTTTTTTATTTTGGATCATCCTCTCTGTTCTATGGAGGATTTGGGGACCTTGTTAACATTGTGATAGATATGTAAATAATCTGTATATAGGTTAGCATCTGGTGGCTGCTAATTTAATTTATACTTTTTATTTCGAAAAAAAAAGAAATGACATTTTCACCTCCTTGGACCTTGGAGCCTTCTTACCTTAAAAAGAAAGCAATATAAGGTTCTCAGTAAAGAGAGAGCATCCAATATAGTACCACAATAATCGCCACTAATAACATCTTAAAACTAGTTTCTTCCAATACACAAAATAATGAACTCTCCTCACCCCCTTTCCACACTGAGCCACCGGAAATGGTTCAAACACACTACACTCTTATGAATGTTATCTCCCTTAAAACTCTTGAAATGTCAAATTAGTAGCACTAACAGCGAAGAAACTTTTCAAAAACCATTTTAATAGCTTCCACGCAACACCTAATGTTAATAAATACAAACCCAGGCACACAAACCAATTCATGCATGCATATACATAAATACATGACACATATATAGGAGGAAGGAAAGTGTTTAATATAACCACCTCGTAGTCATTTCTCTGGGCTCCAGGGACTTCCAGTGCTTCAACATCGAATGAATCGATGCGGGGCCCAGTCCGAATCAACCGCTGCTCCGCATTATCCTCATCCTCGGAATCCAATTCGATGCGGCGGCGAGCGTCATCATCGTTGGCGTCTTCGTCCTCGTCATCATCGATCTCTGAATCATCATCACTCTGGAAAACCCACCGCGATTCTGTGGAGTCCATCGAACCCATTCTTCCGCCGTTGATCTCATCCCTCTCAAACCCCCTCGCACTGCCCTCCTCCGCCATTACCACCCTCTCCACCGCGAATCCCCAGGTCCACAAAAGAAATCGGTTTCCCGAGATTCGAAATGGATAGAACTCGAGAGATGTCCGCGAAAGTAAAATTAGGGGAAATTCAAAATGACGGAAAATGTATAGTGCATGGTGATATTTTAGGGTTCGAAATTTGCTGGAATTTGTAATTTTGCGAATGAGCTTTGGGATCACGCGATATGTAAAAGCAGAGAAGGAAAACGGTGTGCGTCTGTGTTTTGTTTTTGATCACTTAACTGGTTTGAAGTGTTTAAGTAAAACGGATTTGAGTGGGAGAATAATCTGACGCGCGGGGAGGGAGCTTGCGCATTACGTGGAAAGCTCCACGGTAGATGCTCTTAATTTAAACTAAGAAAAATTAATTAAAATTAAGAGAAAAATAAACGAAGATTTTTGCTGATGAATGAAACGTGCCAGGGAGGTTATAGAGACTTTAATGGATAAGCTGAGCTGGAAAGTACGGCCTCCGTGGGTTTCAGGTGAGATTATAAAATCTAATTTTCTAAGAAAATTAAATAAATTTAAAATAAAACAAATTTAGAGTTAACTAAATTAAGAAAACATTTTCAGCCTGTCATTAATTAAAGTTTTAAAAGTCTTTCGCTAAAATAAAATTATTGTTATAAATATTTAATAACATATAACCTGAGACTTAACTATTAAAATATTTTATATACTATTAATATTTTTTTGGTTTAAACATTTTATTCTTTACAAGTCTTTATATTTTTAAAATATTTTTAAATAAATATTTTAAGTATAAAATAGTTAAAACATCATTAGTTAATAACACATATGGAGCTAAGTGGTGTTAACTTGACACATGTTGATGACGTAAAAATTGTATTCACGTCATCGTCTATATCATCACGTCGTTTTTTTTTTTTTTTTATGAGACAAACTTCCTATTCACCTAAAAGCAATCTCTCAAATCATGAAAGCTTAAGAAAAATGTACAAGAGTATAGATAGAATCGCAAGAAGGACAAGTAAGCTATGAGAAAAGAGATAGATGGCTTGAGATCATGCATAAGTGAAGTTCAACTTCAAGTCTAAAAGCTTGGAGCAAGAAACAAAATAACAAAGGCCAACATAAT